GAGTAACGCTTGAGGATTTTTTGAGATTTCCCCCAGTTCTGCTGTCACCTTTTGCAACTGCAAAAACACAAAGAATGAGAATCAACTATTACCTTGAACCCAGCAATCAGCAACACAGCTACTGTGTTTATGAGCTTACTGGCAATAGATGTCAAACAGATGGGAGACCAAATATGATCATATGTTGCAACTTGTGAGTATATATCAACAAACAAAAGGTTCACTACAAGTTAAATAACTTGCTAAAAGGAATGTGAAATAGTTTAACAACGTTTTCTGAACACTTTGCAGGATAAGAGAAAATCACCTCTTCATTGACTTCCCACTCCAAGAAAGCAGGGTTTCTAACACAGTCAACAAGCAATTCTACCATTTCAGGCATATAGGTTTGAATGGCATCAACAGTGTATGTCATCTGATCCCTATAGGCTGAGGCTGATGTGCTACTGCCAATTGCTTCAACTTCTCTAACAATGAGCAAGTGGCTCCAATTTGTCGTGCTCTTGAATGCCGTCCGTTCCAGCAAGTGGGAGGCACTCGACTACAAAGATGTCTGATATACAGAATCAGAATTAGTATATAACCCGATGGAGGCTACTGGACTCTGATTAACCAGAAAAAAAAAACAAAACTGTCTTCAAACAACAAGCAGAGAAGAGAAAGAAAGACAGCAATGGTAGTAAAATGCTTTAAGATGAAAATTAGAATTAGACATTCAACCAAAATAACAGAAGCTCCGAGGCTATTTTGACACCATTATCAGGAGTTGTAATCTTAGTGCCACCACTATTGACTTTTTAGTTCAAGCGGAACGAGTTCAATTTTCCTTAAACAACATTTCGAGTTTAAGTCTTATAAACTAAGGTACAAGACTAATAAAACTTCTCCTTTATGTGTCTGACATGGCTTGCCTCTGGATTACTTAAGGGCTTTCGGATGCTGGGGTTAGTACAAAAAAAAATATCTTAGTGCCACTAGGTGGAATAAAATCCGGTAACACGGATGGAAAAGGAACGCCTTTAAGTGGTGTATCTAAAGGTGGAAGAGAACTAGAGCGTTCCCCAGTAAGCCAACTAAAGAACTCCGGCGAGGATGGCCTAGCAGCTACTACCGAAGTTGCATACCTCACAGCTGCCGAATTTCCAGGATGAACTTGCCCACAAAAATAACAAACAAAACACAACTCCCACGCATCAGACTAAAAGGACTAACACCTACAATCTGCAGACAAGTTATGGTTCTGTTTGTTTTCCGGGAAAATTAATCTCATATCAATATTCCAAACATAAAGTATCAAAGATATATATATCCTCCGGATCAAATGTAGTACCAAACAACGGGAATAAATGTAAGGTTTTCAAATTTCGTTCCTCAGTCGCAATGAAATAGTTCTAAAACCTATGTCACAAAAGCTTCGCAGTTCCACTTTCGTTTATTTTCTCTTCCATATCCGGTAGTTTCCAGAGAAACAAACAGAAAACTAGGGTTGCGATAGGGATTGAGTTCGACACAGACATTGAGAGATCTGAGACGGGAGGATGCAACTCTGTACATGACTGTGAGTTCGTACGTTCCGAGGTTCGAATTTCTGCGTTCGTTTCTTCCCTGGTAAGAGCGGCGGCTACGGAGGAGGAAGAGAGAAAGCGAACAAAATGTCGCTTTTGGTTAAATGCAGATTTTGATTCTCAAGGTTTTACACAATTTTTTTTTTGTCTTTAATTATAAAAAAAAAATATTTTTTAAATTTTTTATTAATTAATTTATTACATTTATCTAAATATATATTTTTAATTTTTTAATTTTTAATATATGTATATTTTTTATTTTTTAATTTAAATTAAAGAATTAAA